GATCACGACCCGGGCCGAAGGCAGTCGCTTAACCAACTGAGCCACCCACGCACCCCATGTTTTTGACGGGCTTTGTGATTTTTAAAGTTTTTGGTATCTGAAATGTAAACCATTATAAAGATAGTGTTTGGTGTTCATTCTGATGAAATCAGTTTTGAGTTCTTCATTGAAAACATTTGGCACAAACTTGGTGCGTTCAGAAGTAAAAACATTATAGGAAATAGGAAATACCTTACTATTTGTGTACTTTTTGCCAGAGTGCATTTTTCAATCTGAAGAACTCTATTTTGGATTTTTAGTTATTCAGTGATTTTTAAGTCAGGCACATGCACTTAAAAATGTACGATATTTCATAAGGATTTTTTCAGAACCAGTTTTTCCTGTAGAAATTTTCTTACAGTTGATGTTTTTAGACTTCAGGTATTTGTTCATTAACTGGTTGTAAATAGGTTGAGATTAGAAGTTAGGATTTTCGTGCCATCAGCATTTAAAAATCTTTATTGTTTATGTCCATATGGGACCATCGGACCGTATAACGGAATCTGGTGGAAGATTCCTAATAACCTGGAATTACCGTTAATAGGACTGCTCATTTGCATCCCCCCCAGTCTCCTGTAAATACCACTTGATACATACAAACATTTTTGATTAGTGTATTTCTGATATTCTTGTTTGTATTAGTCTGTGTTAAAAAACAATTCATCAGAGTAAATTTAAAGATCAAATTGATTTTATTCAACGTTTCATGAATGGGGGCAGCATCCTATCTGTCAAATAGAAAGGAGCTCTAAGGAGCTGTACAAAATGGCGACTTTTAAAGGCAGAAAGGGCCAGGGACAAGGAAAAAGTGGATTACCTCATCTTTCATTAGGAAATGGTGGAAGGGGTCTGTCAGGTGATTACCTCACTGCTGCTGAGCAGGAAATTCCAGACTGACCAGTTAAGATTTCATTTCTGGGAGGGTATTATTTTTATTTTTATTTTATTTATTTTTTTGAAAGATTTTATTTATTCATTTGACAGAGATAGACACAGTGAGAGAGGGAACACAAGCAGGGGAAGTGGGAGAGGGAGAAGCAGGCTTCCCGCAGAGTGAGGAGCCCGATGCGAGGCTTGATCCCAGGACCCTGGGATCATGACCTAGCTGAAAGCAGACGCTTAACAACTGAGCCACCCAGGCGCCCCGACGCAATTTATTTATTTATTTATTTATTTATTTATTACTTAATTTAATTTATAAATAACAGAGAGACACAGCGAGAGCAGGAACACAAGCAGGGGGAGTGGGAGAGGGAGAAGCAGGTCTCCTGTGAGCAGGGAGCCTGATGTGGGACTCGATCCCAGGACCCTGGGATCATGACCTGAGCCGAAGGCAGACGCTTAACGACTGAGCCACCCAGGCGCCCCCGAGGGTATTTTTTAAAAAATATTTTATCTATTTATTTGAGAGAGAGACAGTGCATGGTAGGGGGGTGGGGGGTGGTGCAGAGAGGGAGGAGGAGAAGCAGCAGACTCGACAGGGGGCTGGATGGGAGGACCCTGGAATCATGACCTTGAGCCTAAGGCAGATGCTTAACCATATGAGCCACCCTTGTGCCCCTTTTTCTGGGAGGGTCTTAAAGTGTAATCAGGTTAGGTATAAAGTCTTTCGGTTTGTTAATGTAGGGCTTAGGAGAGGTCACTCAGTTTTGGGCCTTTTACTTCTTTTAACATTTGCTAGGGAAGCCATAACAAAATACTGCAAACTGAGTGGGTTAAATAAATTGATTTTGTCATAGTTTTGGAAGCTCAGATTCCAAGATCAAGTTGTCAGCATGGTTGGTTTTCCTCTGAGACCTCTCTCCTTGGCTTGCAGATGGCCACCCTCTTGCTGCCTCTTCACATGGTCTCTTTCTTTGCAGCCTTGGTGTCTCAACGTGTCCCAATTTCCTCCCCTTACAAGGACACAGGATTGGAATGGGGCCCACCCTAACAACCTCATTTAAGTTAATCTCATTAAGCCTTTATCTCCAGTTAATGGTTCTATTCAGACGTGGGGGGCTTGCAACTTGGACATGTGGGAGGGGCACAATTCAGCTCCTAATATTACACAGGGAAAGGAAGATAGAATGAATTTGGATGGCACTAAGTGTAGTTAAAAGAAATTGATAGGGTGGCACTTTTGAAAGTTTAATTTGGCTTTATACAGGTAAGGGGGTAAAATTTCTTCTATCCTTCTAGGTTCCCTGGCTTGGGGCCTTGTAAATTAGACTGACAAAAGAAAGATTAACATGAGAAAACAAATAGAAGTTTATTAGAGTGTGCTCCTACCTCCGAGTAACTCAGGGGTGGTTAGAATTTGCCAACTCTTTACCTAATTCCATGGGGAGCGGGGGAAGGGCACTTAATGGAAAAACATAACTTTTTGGAAAGATAGGTAAATGGGCCCTTAGGAGAATTGATGGGAGAAATGATAAGTTTGTGGCAATGTCTGGGTGTGGTGCTGATTTTGTGTGTGTGTCTGTAGGGAAGAGTTGCTCCAGGGGAGGGGACTGATAAATTCTTTTTGGAGGCTCTGCTTTTAGAAAGATAAGGAATTGCAAGAATTAAAATGCCTTCAGCTCAAAACTATTCTTATGTTAAAGTAGCATATTTTGGGGTGCCGTATCATGATTCCTTCTCACTTGTGTAAATGCCTTAATATTAGCTAATAGTGTTCTTTACCTTTTTTCAGAACGTGAAAACTTTTGCCATTAGCTATTCATACTTTATTTTTTAAAACTAAATTTAAATTAAAAATTCTAAAGACATTGCAAAAATGAATAGGTAATATTATTGGTTTGTCTCCTAGGGATTGTTTTTAGTATATAAATTATCACTTGACGATTGTTTAAAAGGATAAGCTTTATTTATTTCAGATTCTCTGCAATTTTTTTTTTTGTACACTAAAAGCAGTTTTTCATTCCCATTTAGTTGTTGAAACTGTAATTTTAGGACTTTTCAACAAAAGCTTATACTGGAAAAGTAACATCCTATTATATACATCACAAAGCAGCTTAGTATGTAGCTTCATGTAAGAATAGATAATGAAAATCCTTTACTCATCCAGAAACACTTTAGTTTCCATTTTAATTTCTGAAGACTTCAAAATGTAGTATAAGATGGTAATAGAATTAGAGCTTAGAGTGCCTGAATTTTTCTGTAGTTTATTTTGATTAGGTACACTCTTACATTTGTTTCATAAATGTATTACTGGCATTGATTGTCTCAGGTTACTCAGATTGTATCAAGGTTTTTCCACCTTCAGCTCATGGCTCATATAAGCTTATACCATTTAAACATCTTCATTACCCTGGTGAGTTACCATTTCTTGTGTCTGGCCACTCTTAACCTTTTTTTTTTTTTCCCTTTAAAAAGATTTTATTTATTTATTTATCAGAGAGAGAAAGCACAGGCAGAGGGAGAAGCAGGCTCCTCGCTGAGCAAGGAGCCCCATGCGGGACTTGATCCCAGGACTCTGGGATCATGACCTGAGCTGAAGGCGGCCACTTCACGGACTGAGCCACCCAGACGTCCCTACTCTTAACCTTTTGTTACGGTTTGGGATAGTAAAAATAGAATATTTTATAATATTTGAGAATTTTTCTTAAAGTATTTTAGCAAGTTGGTAGTCTGACATAGAAACATAGAAACAATATTTGAAAGAATTTGGAAAAGGGAAGATTAACAGTGGTATTTTGTTTTTTAAAATTTCACTTTCGAGATTATGCAGTTGTAAATATAAAACATTTGTTATGAGTAAACTCAGACATTGTGGTGCACAGAAAGTTTGATTTCTTCATTGTGTGATAGTCTTAAGCTTTGTATTGAAATGAGTACAGTTGCCCAGTTGGCTTCTGCCTTATTTAAAAAAAAAAAAGAAAAACTGAATTTGCTGTTTAGATTGGGCTGGCAACTTGAAATTTTTATTGATGCAGTTGATAGAGGCTCCTAAAAAGTTAATTCAGAATGCAGAAAAGCACCAGTGTCTAAAATATTTGATACTCATTGTGATGATTGTAATTAAAAAACAACAAACCTGTTCGTTGTGAAAATTTTCAAACATATATATAACTAGAGAAGAGTATTTACACACCTCCTTGTACTATTATTTATAAACATATGTGCAACCTATTTTCAGTTAGCCCCATTTAGCACTATCTGGTTTTTAAAAGATTCCAGATAGGTCAGTGTAATTGTAAAGACTTCAGTCTTTTATTTACCACCATCACACTACCATTGTCACATCTAAAATGAGTAATAATTTCTTAATGTTATTTAGTGTTCTGTTCATGTTTAAATTTTTGATTCCTAATTTTCATTTTTTAAAGTTTGGTTTGAGTAAGGATCTGTGTAAGGCCCACATGTTTCATCTGCATGTTGAAAGCCATGTATTTGTTGGGGGGAAAAAACCGATCATTTCACCTGTTGAGTATCCTGTGATCTGGATTTGCTGGATTACTTCCCTCAGATTTCCTTTAATTTGTTTCTCTGTGTTGAACTTCGTGAAAGTTAGTAGGTCAGATTTCAGATTCCATCTGGGTTGGGGGTGAAAATACATTATAGATGGTATAATGTGCATCCTAGTTTGTCACATCTAGAGACACTTGATGTCTGTGATTAGACCATTGTAATTTAAAAAAAAAAAGGTTTCCTGGGATTATTTATAGTGAAATTGGCCAATATTAAGTATTCAATCTGATTTTTGACAGATTTGTACATTTGTATAACGACAATCAAGATAAAACCCCCATTACCTCAAGAATAACCTTCCCTTTGCAGTCATACCCCTCCCCCACAGGCCCTCTCCCCCCATCCACTCCTGTGATCTAGTTTCTGTTATATTTTTGCCTATTTTAGAATTTCATCATAATTGGAATCTTAGAGTAGTAAAATCATTGTTGCTTAGAGGAGATAGAGCATAAGAAGATAATTTTGACAAGGAGCTCCAGGTCTAATTTCCTTCCATTTTTATATGACAGGGACTTGCCATGAGGTGTTGAAGCCTTGTTTCACGGAGTTGGAGAGACTGGACCTAAATGGCGCAGCATGACTTTGCTCCAGCCTGGCTTAATTTTCCTACTCCACCATCATCAACAAAGGTACTCTGCATTTCTTTCTGTCTTTGTGTCTGCTTCTCATTTCTTCTTGTACGCAAATGTAGTTGGAACGTGAAGCCTCAATTTTGTGGAGAAAATTTTCTTGTATTACTATCTTATTTCATATGGAATCTGTTAGTTTTTATTATTTAAAAAGTCAGTTTTCCATCACCATACTGTACCATTTACTTAAGTTGTCTTTTGTACTAATCAGGGGTCCACACATTTTAACTCAAACCCATTAGATACATTGTATCTTACCTTTATCTGTACTGTTCCTTAGATAATAACTTGCTTTACTTACTGTTCTGTAGGTGATACATTAAAAGAAAAATCTGAGGCTTTTGAGGTCTTTGCTTATACCCAGAAGATTTCTTTTTCAGACAAATAAGACTTTGAACGGCACATCACTAAAATTTCAGGAGCGATGAAAACTTTGAAACATTGTTACATATCAGGCCTCAAATCTAAGAAATGTTCATTTTACTTAAAAATCAGAACAAGAGTTTAAGACTTGCTAGGCATTGCAGTTGTCTTCCACTTAAAAGACTTTTGTAAGAGAGACCTTGGAATTGGTTAGAATCAATCTAACTGGCTTAATAGCTGTCTTTGACTTTGTTTTTTCCATAGTGCAAAGGAATCAAGGGAGAGTCTTGATCATCTGTTTGCCTATTAATCATGCTCTACCATGCTAAGGCGTTCATCTAGGAACTTTTGGGGTACAGACAGTTCTTTAAAAAACAAGTTTATTAAAAGCAACTCTTGTGGGAATAATTTTTATGATTTGGAAAGTCCTTCCCCAGTAAGGACTTGTCAGATCATAATAGATTGGCCCAAATTTTGGCCCGTAATTTTGTACAGATGGATTCTCTGGAAGGTTAATTGACTTGCCTCTTTTTCATAGAAACACTGTGAGCCTAGACTAGAATCCAGGATGCATTTCCTATTCTGTACTCTTTACATAGGTCTCATTTTGGAATGCTGTCAAAATGATTAAATATTTCATTTCATAGCCTGTGCAGTGGGATTTGAAATAGTTAGGAAATGGAGACTTATATTGATTAAGCTGCTGAGATCATTTCTTAGAGATTCTCTGATTGCCTCCTTTCCTCTTAGGTGTAGGTCTGTGTAGTTTACTCCCCTCCCCATTTCCTTGTAAACCCAGCTGCTCTAATGGAGCCCTCTAGCAGGCTTATTTTTTTTCAGGCCTACCTCAGAGCTTGACTACATAGTTTCCTGCCACCCACCTTTACTTCTTTTTTCTATTTGTTTACTTTATCTGAAATAAGTATAAGACTCGTTTTCATTTTCAAGGGAATTGATAAAAAATTAGCACCTGGAAAGTTAGTTACAAAACAGTAAGATTGAGAATAATTTTTGTCTTCATTCAGATGTAAATCAGGTTGATTAAGATTGACTGTTGGTTGATTAACTGTTGCTTTATGTGGTGAAATCCTTACTGCTTTCCAGTTTGCAGAACCTGACCCTTAATTTGGTTATAGGTCTTCATGAATGATGATTTTGAGAATTGGGATTGCCACCTCTAAATCTCACTTATTCTAACCTATTCTAAATTACCTACAGAAAATGGTATTTATTTGAACTCTTAACTAGCAGTACTTGAAATTATTTCTTTAGACGTTACCCAGTGTGGTTTTGACAAATACAGACCTTTTAGTAATGACTTCTTACACCTTCCATCTTATCCTTTCATGTCTCCAAATCACTATTCATGGGTTCTCATTTATAATTAACCTCTTATTTTCTGCCAGAGCCCTTTTACTCTTACCCTGAATAAATGGAAGAGACTAATTTACTGTGGGGTTCTCTATTTCAGTGTAATGGAAGTCTTTATTTATTGTTCAAAGGCATGAGGACTTGAAATAAAAAGATATTTTTAGAAGTGGACTTTAGTAGTTTTCTGAGGTGTGTAGAATTTTAGCCCCATCATGTGGTGAAATTTTAAACTGCACGTGGTTGAGTTATATGTGGCATATAGGGCATTGATGTTTGAGCTGTTGATTGGGACCCAATAAAAAGTAAATTTTACGTAATGTTTTGTATACACATAGGTATAACTAAAATAATAGTCATACATCTGTGGTGCACTAATGTTTTCTCTTGTGGTTTTCTGTTTTCTTTATTAGAAAATGTAAATTTCTACTGATACTACCATCCTTTAATAGTTTCTGAGTTACATTTTGGGTAATAACATTTTTATTATTGAAGCAATACTGAACTGAAATGGTTGTAGATACTGGAAAAGTTTAGATATCTCTTTGTTTTAGGTGCTTCTTCTGGCCATCTTACCTTCGGAAGGGTGATAAATCAATCCCTGTAATCAGGTTGAGGTATCCTTTCATAGTATTGTTAGAAGAAGGAAGATTCCTGGGGCACCTGCCTGGCTTATTTGGAAGAGCGTGTAACTCTTGGTCTCGGGGTGGTGAACTTAAGCCCTATGTTGGTTGTGTGGAGCCTACTTAAAAAAGGGGGGGGAGAAGGTGGTTGATGGCGGGGATGTGATACTGAAAGAGCAGATATGTGGTACAAAATAGAAAATACAGGAATTTTTATTCTTTTTAAGTACAAAATAATACAGACCTGTTTGATGACATTCCACTACAGTAAATTTATATTCAATATTTTGTAATTACTTCTATGGCTAGAGTGTGTAGCATTAGCGCATTATGGATTCTTTCACGGCAGCATCTAAAAAATAGTCATTAATATTTTACCAAAGTTTATTTGAATAATGCGTAAACTCTTGGCTTGTGTTGAAAATGTGTATTTAAAGTTCAGGCTAAGAGAAGATCAGAAAATTCAGTCAGACTGGTAGTGGAGTTCATTGAAACTTCTTATTTACTATGTAGAGTTTTTGTTAACTAGTGACTCATACTGCGGGCATCCAAGAAAAAATTGCTAAATTATTTTTTAAAGGAATGCAGAAAAAGGTTTTAAGTATGTAAAGGGATAAAGACGGTAAAGGGATAGAGAGGGTCTCTTTCTTGTTCATGGTAGTATCTTTTTTTTTGAGTACGTACCAATGATTGTATAAAATAGTTCATGTGAATACCAACAAAAAAACATGAGGTAAATTCTCTGTTTTCTTTCTCCCGTATACAAAGGAGGGAACTGAGGTTGAGAGAGGTAAGTAATGTGCCCCAAAGTGCTGGAGCTAGGATACAAATCCATGTGTGCCTGACTTTAATGTTTATCAAGTTAATAAATTTCTTTTCTTGACTGTTAGGTAGTAGACTAATTTTCAAAAGTGAATATTAGGATGCTTTTATGCATACACCAGAATGTATTTTTATCCTGGTTTGGATAAAAGAAATTTTTTTCACTTTAGAGATGGCATCTCCAATATCTTTCATCACTGCTTACGGATCTAACTTTTCAGTGTCTATGAAATCTTTGAGTGGATCTATATATATTATTTAATTAGTTTACCAATTAATGGACTAAGCTGCAGGATTGTCTAGGCATCTCTTGAATACATTTGTAGGGTAAATTCTTAGTAGAATCAGTGGATCAGAGGGTTTGTACATTTTGGTAGGTAATGTCTAATAGCTCTCAAAAAGGTTGTATTGGGGTGCCTGGGTGGTTTAGTCGGTTAAGTGTCCTACTCTTGATTTCAGTTCAGGTCGTGATCTCAGGGTCCTGAGTTCAAGCTTTGTGTTGGGCTACATGCTGGGTGTGGAGCCTACTTAAAAAAAAAAAAAAGGTTATACTTATTTATAATCCCATCAGAATTTTATGAGGGGGCTAGTGTTCTCAGTTTTGGCAACACTGGCTGTTTTCACATTTTTAAATCTGCAATTAGATGAAAAATGGTACTTTATTATTTTGCATTTTTAAATTATGGTTGAGTATATTTTGGTGTTATGGTTTCTTAACTGCTTGCTCATGTAATGTGTTTCTTAGTGATTTTGTAATAGCTCTTTTCACATTGAGGAATTTTTTTTTTTTTTAAGATTTTTATTTATTTGACAGAGACAGCGAGAGAGGGAACAGAAACAGGGGGAGTGGGAGAGGGAGAAGCAGGCTTCCTGCTGAGCAGGGAGCCCTATGAGGGACTTGATGATACCAGGACCCTGGAATGATGACCGGAGCCGAAGGCAGATGCTTAACGACTGAGCCACCCAGGTGCCCTTACATTGGGGAATTTGTTTGTCATTGCAGATATATTTGCTTTGGTAATTTGTAATTTGCTTATTTGTTTTGGTAATTTTTTTTTTAAGTTTGTAATTTTTATTCCAGTATAGTTAACATACAGTGTTATATTAGTTTTAGGTGTACAATACAGTGATTCAGCAATTCTTTACGTGTTTTGATAATTCTTTAAAAAACCTCATTGAAGGTTTTAATGAAACATACAGAGAATGATAGATAATAATTAAATGAGTACTTATTAAATATCAAGATAGTCCTATCTTAACATTCTTCTATATTAGGTTTTATTGCTTCTGGAAGTAAAGCATTCTGTATGCAGTTGAAGTTCACTGTCCTGTTTCTTCACAGTCCTTTCTCTTCATTTTTCCCCAGAGGTATTCTCAGCATATGTTCCTATAACTACATATGTGAATGTCAAATGGTATTGTTATGTATGTTTAAAAATTTTTATCAGTGATTTTCATGTGTATGTCTGCATCTTACTTTTACATTCATTGTATCTTTGAGATTTTCTCCCCCCATGTTGATATCCACAAATGTAGTGTAAGTATCTTAAAACTCTGTGTGGTATCCTATTTTGTTTATCTATACTACATTTTATTTGTTCGTTAAAGTTTAGATTGTTTATAACATAACTTTTGGCTGCTCTAGAGAAATACTGCATTGAATGTTTTTATGGTATCTCCTTGTACACATGGGTAAGAAATTTTAGGCCACTGTTCCTCACACTTGAATGGATAAGAAAATAACCTGGGGGACTCCTGGGAGGGCTCAGTCGGTTAAGCGTCTGCCTTCAGCTCAGGTCCTGATCCCAGGGTCTTGGGATCGAG